AAAGAATCCATATTCATTTGAATGATGACGGAAGTTCATTTGCACTCACAGCTAAATATTTGTTTTGAAATGTTATACATTTATATTACATGTATGTTATTAAGTAGCATATGCGCGTATTTGTGTTTAAGTGCACATGTTTTGTTAACGATAGTTTATGACAGTATATACGGTAATACAGTAGATACAACGTATAAAAAAAAATGGCAAGAGATATTGTTTCACCAATTGTCATTGGTATTGTGTTATATGTATTTATATAGGTTGGGTTATTATTAAATTACAAGGTATGTCGTGAGTTTTTAGCCAATGCTTGGTGGGCGTATGTAATGGCTTCATCCATTCATTAAACCTGGGAAAACTGTCATATGTAGAACAAACGTATTTTATGGTTACACTGTTCTAGGCCATACAAGTAATTGAATAGATGAATAGAGACTCATTCAAAAAAGGATAGTACGTTAACTGTGTGTTTTAAGGTTAGATGTCACGTTGCGTAATTTTATTGGAATATTTTATAAAATATTTACATGTAGCTACCGTTTGTGCAATACTAAAGAAGTGATGATTTTGTGTGTAATTTTGTTATAGTGATCATGACCGTGTTAATTTCTTTTGTTTCTGTTGGATTTATAGATAAGTTTCGTTGGTTTTATAATTTCGTATTTTGCTGAGATTTTGTTAATTCTGTTCGTAAACAATATATAAACTTTTGGTATGGTAAATAGATATTTTATATTTTTACGCCAATTGGCTAAAAAGGATAATGAATTAATTAGTATTAACACAATGTAAACAAAATGGTATTTTGATTTCCATACAAAATACTAATTGAGCCGCGTCATGACAAAACCAACATAATGGGTTTGCGACCAGCATGGATGCAGACCAGCCTGTGCATCCGCGCAGTCTGATCAGGATCCATGCTGTTCGCTATCATTTTCTCTACTTGTTATAGACTTTGTAAGCGAACAACATGGCTCCTTATCAGACTGCGCGGAAGCGCAGGCTGGTCTGGATCCTTGCTGGTCGCATTCCCATTATGTTGGTTTTGTTGTGACGCGGCTCAATTTATTTGTAAACCTTTTCAGCCAACTGACTGCGACCAGCGTAAAACAAATCTGTGCCGCCTGATCATGGTCTGCACTTTTCGCTATACATGTATACATACTTTGATGAAATTTTCCCTTCAAAGGATGAATGGTTTGGTCCAGAATTAAAAGATGGACCAGTCCGTTAAAGATTTTTAGGGTGATCAAGGTTAATTTGTGATAATATTTTTTTTATCATTATAATGCTCCAAAATGATCTACATGTAGGTGAACTTCAATCATTAAAATTCAGCTTAAATTACTTCCACAAAGTTTTGAGTCATATCAAATTCGGTTTGTATGCACTCAAATATATAAATTGCGTGTATATATTTTTTTCCATTGGCTAGATACTTAAACATGGAGTGTGCAGTGCGAGTTAAGATTTAAACAGTTTAAAAAGTTTGCTTCACAATTTTTTGTTGCCAAACGGATGTTCCCTAATCAAACATTTGAATTCAGGATGTCAGCGTAATGTGCATTATTTGAATAGGGTTAGCTTGAAATCTTTAAATGCATTTTAACTTGTGTATTTAATGTGATTTTAAAAAAAGTATATTCTGCACTTTAACGAGCTATGGATAATAATTATGATGATTTATAAATATAATAGGAAGTAAGTTATGTATAATTTAAGCATTTGATTAATCACTGAATGAATTAAATACTGTATTTAATGATTTGTTTTGGTTTAAAGGCACATAATGCTTCAGATATGTCAGAATGAACAATTTAACGAGCTATGAATTATGTGATAATTTTATATATATAATAAAGAAGTAAGTTAGTATAATGTAAGCATTTGATTAATCACTGAATGAATTAAATACTGTTTGAAATGTTTGTTTTTGTTTAAAGGCACATAATGCTTCAGAATGAACAATATAAAGAGCTATGAATCATATGATAATTTATATATAGAATAGGAAGTAAGTTATGTATAATTTTAGGGTTTGAATATTTGCTGAATGAATTAAATACTGTATTAAATGTTTTTGTTTTTGTTTAAAGGCACATAATGCTTCAGAATGAACAATTTTTTTTATTCGGTAGAAAGAGCACATAATTTTTATTGTGTTTTAAAAATACTGTAATAATTGATTTACAAAAGGTGATCGAGATGCGTATCACCTGAAGAATATACTGTCGAATGTGAAATGAATTGTAATTAAGGTTAATTAGGACATGTAACAAAAAACGTAAACAAAGTTACAAGTATATTGACTTCCACACAAAATACTAATTCACAACAACTGTGCTTATACTTATAACACAAAAGAAACAAAAGATGTCTTAGATAATTATATATATGTCCAATGATCGAGCAACTTTTTTTGAAACTGTTACAGTGGACACCAAAAAATAAAATGTTTTTTGTAAAATATTAAAATGATAACATTTTTGGGGAATTAAATGGGCCTTTAAAGCTTAGACATGCCTCCAGTAGAGTCAAAATATTTCAATAAAATCAAACTTGAGAAAAATGTACTAATTAAGATGTAAGGAAAAGTAAAAAGTTTCAAGATTCAAGTAATATTTTACATATTATGTGCGTTTAATGACTGACTTTTCAGTATTTACAACTATATTTCTACTGCATTACTAACGCAGTAAAGGCTATTTTTATGCATATTTTAACCACCTTTTGGTAATTTACTTGGTTTGAAGGGGCGTCTGTGGCCATTGAGGTCGTTGACTTCAAACCACTTGCTCCTCACCGCTGTGGTTCGAATCCCGACAGGGACTTTGGATATCCAGCTAGCTTACGGAACGTCGGCGGTTCAACTCGGGTGCCCGTTCATGCCTGAAATAATGCACAGAAGCCCTGAGGTCTTCCTCCACCAGTAAAGCTGGAACGTCGCGATATGACCTATACTGTGTTGATGTTACGTAAAACCCAAACAAACAAAAAAACTTGGTTTGAAAGTGATTGATAATGTGTTAAATAAGAAGCTTCCTTTTGGTAACTTCACAATATTACACATTCATATTCATTTTCAAAATTTTCACGAAAATAAGCATGAAATTGGAGGCGTGCTGCTTTAAAGGTGAAAAACTGTTCTTATTTGATTATTTCAAGTAGTGTGGGAGTGAAGCTCTTATATCATATAAACTTTTTCTGACCTTAGATTTTAATTATTTGCTATTCATTCATTATTGATTTGACCTAACAACAATGTAAATATAATATTAATAATCATTGATTTGGTTCAGTCAGTTTTGAGAGATAGAAGATTTTGTCTTAGATTCTTATAGATATACATGTATAATAATATGAGCTTTTAATAAGTTGGTTTTAATTATATGTCTTTTTAAGCTCACCTAAGCTTTAATGTGCTATGAGTAAAGCTTTTGTGACAGCAATGTGTTGGTCCTTGGCAGTTTATTAATGTTATCCATAATTTCTTAAAACAACATGTTCTAAACCATGGCATATGTGGTAGATTTTGACCAAACTTCAAAGGAGTGAATCTTAAAGTCACTGCAGCCCCTGTACTAACTGGATTCTGATCAGATAATTTAATAGGTCATTTAAGAGCTTTAAAAACAGACTTGCAAAACTAAAATATTAAATAACAATTATAACATTGTATTAAAACTTTATACAAAGGTAAGATATTTGGTATTTAGCATGACCTCAAACTCCTTGATATCCTCTACAAAAGTTATATACATCATCCTCTGGGGTCAAAATTAGCCCCCACCCCAGGGGTGGGGGTGTCAGTTAGTTTATATAGACATATACGGTACTTCTTGTGTCTTGGGCATATAGTATTGTATTGCCTAGTGGACCTAATACTTAAGCTATATAAATTATATCCCTTGGGTCAAAAATGGCGTACACTTAGCTCAATAGGTAGAGCCTTTGACTGTGAATTGGGCAACTCAGGTTTGATTCCCAGACACTGTGCAGGTCACTTTCGTTGTGATTAATCATGAAATCCTATTTTCTGTAGTCATTCCCACTGTACACCTGCTCTGGCACTATCACCTTGTGGGCCAGTACAAAAGTTATATGAGCCGCGTCATGACAAAACCAACATAGTGGGTTTGCGACCAGCATGGATCCAGACCAGCCTGTGCATCCGCACAGTCTGATCAGGATCCATGCTGTTCGCTATCAGTTTCTCTACTTGTAATAGAGTTGGTAAGCGAACAGCATGGATCCTGATCAGACTGCACGGATGCGCAGGCTGGTCTGGATCTGGATCCATGCTGGTCGCAAACGCACTATGCTGCTTTTGTCGTGACGCGGCTCAATTATATTAATCATGCCTCTGGGGTCGAAAGTAGCCCAACCCTGAGATCACTTAATTTATAAAAATGTTACATAATCTAGATTTATAGTTATACATTATCCTGGGAACAGGTACATTATCAATATAGCGTAGGTCTTCGTTTGACATTTGTATCTTATTTGTGAACAAAAAAATTAGCTATCACTTGATACTTGAAGTCACAGAGTGAAAGGTTCTTGGCAACAATGACATCATACAGCCTTCGTATCAAATTTCTTATTCCAATAATCATAACTTACATGATGATTTATTGTTTTTGTTAACTAAATCTTTGTAAGTTATATATGGAGACATTAGTGCACTGCATGTTTAAAGCTGCATGCCTCCAGATGAGCCTAAAATAATTCTAGGAAAATCATTTTTAACTAAAGAAAAATGTTTTAATTTTTTTTTTAGAAAAGTAAAAAGATTCAAGATTCAGGTAATAATTTTACATGTTTTTTTGCGATTAATGACTGATTTCTACAGCATGACTGACATGTTGAGGGGTATTTTGGTATATTTTTGCTGTTAAACGTTGTACACACAACTTTATCAAATTTGAGCATAATATTATATCTTTAAAGTTTGTTATACATTATGAATGTTTTTCTCTATTATATATTTTCAGTGTTGCCAACCTGTGACCTTATTGACAAGATGGTAACTGAAAGGACAGTGTGTTCAATATACAAAAAATTAAAGAATAAGGTATTAGTTGCATTTTGTATATTTTGAGAACTGTTTGATATTATATTTATGAGAAAGTGAATTCGGAAATATTGGTTGAGGAATGGTTGAGAAATTAGATATTTATTTGAACAGTGTACCAAAATTTTTAACAAGCAAAATGACTAGGTGTGCCGGCTTTGCTCGGTTACGGGAGAGTATCGGACATATAACCCAGGGATAGCTGGACACTTTAAGTAAAGACACAAAATGTAAGGGTAGGTTTGGGCCTAGATCAGGATATTTTATATATACATTTAAGAATTAAAGAGGGAACTCTTTTGATGATAATTGTTATTATACTGAGTTTTAGTACACAGAGTAGGGCATTACGGTTTAAGCTACTTATAAATCAAATCGCATTAGTATGAGATAATTTTCAACACTTTTAAAGGATATAAAGCTATATCTTTTGAAAAAATTTTATGAAATTTATCGACAGTAAAAATATAATGGTACCATAATCTATGAGGTTGAAAATATGAGATAATACTTATTAAACATTCAACAATTAAAACTATGAGATAATTCTGTGTTTAATATTCAACATTAATAAAAAACTGAGATAATACTAAATTTAATATTCACCACCTATAACTATGAGATAAAACTGAGTTTAACATTCAACAAAAAATACTGTTTTAAATGTTCAACATAAATAAGAAAAATGAAAAAATGAAAAATGAGATAATACTAAATTATTCAACAGCTATAAGATAAAACTGAGTTAAACATTCAACAATTTAAACTTTGAGATAATACTGATTGAATATTCAACATTCATAAAAAAGAAAAAAGAGATAAATACTTAATTAAATATTCAACAACTATGTTAACATTCAACAATTGAAACTTTGAAATAATACTGATTTAGTATTTAACTGTAATGAAAAAAAAATATGAGATAAATACTAAATTAAATATAACTATGAGATAAAAACTGAGTTAAACATTCAGAAATTGAAAAAATGAGATGATACTGAGGTAAATTTTCAACATTAATAAAAAAGAAAAATGAGATAATACTGTTTAATATTCAACATAAATAAACACTAATAACACTAAACTTTGAGGTAATACTGAGTTAAATATTTAACATTATTAAATTATGAGATAATAACTAGTGTAATCATCAAGATTAGAAAGTGTAGAATAAGGAATAAATCTGAATTGTAGATATCAACAACAAGTTCAAATATGAAAGAATATGATGTTTATAGTAAAAAATCTATTTGTAAGTTATCCAACAAAAAATAAAATATGAGATATAAATATCATAATTTCTATGAAATATAAACATGAGACTTCTTTTTTTGTCAATATCTCATTTTGTAGTGTGTGATAATTAATACCCCTTTCAGTGTAAAAAAGACATGACATCATTGCCCGAGATTCATGTGGCAGTCATAATGTCAGATATATATCAAAAGTCATAGTATAAGATTATTAGATCATGTAGTATATATCTCAAATTATATCTGAAAATAACTGTGCGTAAATATGAATTTTTAAAGCTGCATGCCTCCAGATGAACTAAAAATAATTCAAGAGAATCAAACTTGAGAAAAATGTTTTAAAATTTTTTTAAGATTTTAAGAAAAGTGAAAAAAGAGTCAAGATCCATTAGCAATTACTTGCATGTTTTGTGTGATTAATAAATCATTAATGACTGATTTTTCAGTTTGACTGATTTTACAGTATCTATCACTATATTTGTACTGCTTGACTAACACGTTCAGGTCTATTTTTGCTTATTTTAATCCTTTGTGGTAGTTTACATGGATGCAACTGTTGTTTGCAATTTTGTAAATCATTTTCTTTGTACATTTCACAGTATTTTAATTTTAAATACATTTAAAAAAAATTCATGAAAAATTTAGCAACTATCATAAATCTTGAGGTACATGTATTATCAGGCATAGAAAAAAATTTAGGGTCACATGTCCTACTAAATCCAATGTGCAGGTAACATTTTTATGCCCCCACAATGTGGGTGCATATAGTGTTGCACTTGTCCGTCCGTCAGTCCGTCCGTACGTCCCGAAATCTTGTGAACGCAACTCCTCTTAAACCGTATGGCAGATTTTGCTTAAACTTACAGGGATGAACAACCTTAATGTGTAGATGGTAGTAAAGGAAGGAATTTTCGCTGCGACCAAATTAAACAGAATTATGGCCCTTTGTTAATTTTTTCACTATATACTATGTAGAAATTTTGTGAATGCAACTCCTCTTAAACCGGATGGCAGATTTTGCTTAAACTTACAGGGATGAACAACCTTAATGTGTAGATGGTAGTAAAGGAAGGAATTTTTGCTGCAACCAAATTTAACAGAATTATGGCCCTTTGTTGATTTTTTCACTATATACTATGTAGAAATTTTGTGAACGCAACTCTTCTTAAACCGGATGGCAGATTTTGCTTAAACTTACAGGGATGAACAACCTTAATGTGAAGATGGTAGTAAAGGAAGGAATTTTTGCTGCAACCAAATTTAACAGAATTATGGCCCTTTGTTGATTTTTTCACTATATACTATGTAGAAATTTTGTGTAGCAACTCCTCTTAAACCGGATGGCAGATTTTGCTTAAACTTACAGGGATGAACAACCTTAATGTGAAGATGGTAGTAAAGGAAGGAATTTTTGCTGCAACCAAATTTAACAGAATTATGGCCCTTTGTTGATTTTTTCACTATATACTATGTAGAAATTTTGTGTAGCAACTCCTCTTAAACCGGATGGCAGATTTTGCTTAAACTTCCAGGGATGAACAACCTTAAGGTGTAGATGGCAGTAAAGGAAGGAATTTTCGCTGCGACCAAATTTAACAGAATTATGGCACTTTGTTAATTTTTTCACTATATACTATGTAGAAATTTTGTGAATGCAACTCCTCTTAAACCGGATGGCAGATTTTGCTTAAACTTCCAGGGATGAACAAACCTTAATGTGTGATGGCAGTAAAGGAAGGAATTTTTGCTGCAACCAAATTTAACAGAATTATGGCCCTTTGTTGATTTTTTCATTATATACTATGTAAAATTTTGTGAAACGCAACTCCTCTTAAACCGGATGGCAGATTTTGCTTAAACTTCCAGGGATTAACAACCTTAATGTGTAGATGGTAGTAAAGGAAGGAATTTTTTGCTGCGACCAAATTTAACAGAATTATGGCCCTTTGTTGATTTTTAGTTTTCAACTTGTGGCACATGTAGTCCAAAAAATATTTGACCTAGAGTCATAAGATTGACAGAACAGTGACGTGTGGGGGCATCCGTGTCCTATGGACACATTTCTAGTTCTACTTGTCCTGCATTGAGTTTTCTTAAATTCAACGCGTAATTACGAACAGACTAGTGGAATTTTCAATCTCTGAGGCATGCTGCTTTAAAGTATTTTGATAATTGAAATGTCATAAGATTTTACCAGGTTGTTTCTAAACTGAGAACAGGGTAAATTTTTTTAGCACATATCAGGCGAGCTATGGGTAAATTATATATATCAATTAGACCTTATAATTACTGGTAATAAAAGGGTCAGTGAAAAGTATTGTATAATTAATAATGTAATAAGTTAACATGTAATGATGTAACCTCCCATATTAGTATACATTCTATGTGATATAGTAATTATTTTCTTGACAGTGTTATACCCATGTATTATGTTCGCACTGTGAAAACTTACAACGAATTGGGCAATAAACATGTCCAAAATAATGGATGACAACAACATTTTTACACGGTTCGGTCAGGAATTTGACCATACCATTTAGGTTAATAAAAGGTGACACTGCGAAAAGATATTTTCATTATTTAAGAATGAGCAGTTTTTTGTGTATTATGCTGAGGTTTATATACATGTATATGTTCATACATGTACATTAATTGTGCAGTTTGTTTTCTTATTATGTTGTAAGCTACATACATGAGCCGTGTCATGACAAAACCAACATAGTGGGTTTGCGACCAGCATGGATCCAGACCAGCCTACGCATCCGCGCAGTCTGATCAGGATCTATGCTGTTCGCTATCAGTTTCACTACTTGTAATAGAGTTGGTAAGCGAACAGCATGGATCCTGATCAGACTGCGCAGATGCGCAGGCTGGTCTGGATCCATGCTGGTCGCAAACCCATTATGTTGGTTTTGTCGTGACACGGCTCACATGTAATTTTGTGGTTTAAATGTAAATACACTTGACGGAGGTTAGTCATTTTCATTCAAGACCACTCCTTTTGGGAATGCAAATGAGAATGGGTTGGGTTTTTATTTTCTTTTGAAAAAATGTACTTTAAAGAAATTTATAAAAAATTGTATATGTTTACTATCATTAAAATTTTCAATTTAAAAAATATCCTTACTCAAACTTATTTATAGCTGAATTCTTTCAAGAAAACTTTAAAATGAGTAATGGTGAGCTGTGAAACCAACCAAACAAACTATTTGCTAGGTTGCATACTTAAAGGAAATCATGTGAGATGGGTAGTTGTAATTCACTTGCTGAGAAACTGGTTAGTTATTCTGGAAAGTCAATTAGGTGGATTATAACCGCCAAGATAAGACCAAAAAGTATGACTGAGCCGCGTCACGACAAAACCAACATAATTGGTTTGCGACCAGCATTGATCCAGACCAGCCTGCTCATCCGGGCAGTCTGATCTGAGGATCCATGCTGTTCGCTATCAGTTTCTCTACTTGTTATAGGGTTTGTAAGCGAACAGCATGGATCCTGATCAGACTGCGCGGATGCGCAGGCTGGTCTGGTTCCATGCTGGTCGCAAACCCATAATGTTGGTTTTGTCGTGACGCGGCTCATGTATGATCAGTTTAAAAATCAGAAAAGCAAATAAACAGTTATGACCTTTAAACTCTAATTTGCTCATGTTTTTATCAATTAATGGCCACAAATCTAAATTTTAAGGATATGGATCATCACAAAACTTGGTCCATTGCGTTATACACCTTGTACTTGAGATGGTTT